AGCTCGCCGCCCGATCATCTCCTGCTCGCTCTCCTGCAGCTGCGGCGGACGCATCCATGCCCGTCGATCTGACGGATGATTAGGCTTAGGACTTTTTTGTTTTATTTTTTATTTTTTTGTATTTTTGCTTTGGCCTTTTTGTATTTGATCGACGGATTCAGATCGCCTGTGCTTTTAATGTAATATCGTTGATGGAATACAAAAATGAACTTTCTTTTGAATCTTCCTTGCATTTTTTGTATATCTCTATTTACAACTGTTAAATAACACCTTGAGCGAAATAACATTACACACACTAACTGTAAAACTTTCTAAGATTCTGTATATTCCAAAGGTAAGGTAACTGACGCCCATGTATGTCTGCTAACACGTAAGAGCCAGGTCGCTTAACCCGAATCACCATATAGGGACCTTCCCAATTAGGAGCGAGCTTGCCCATGTGTGAATGAGTGTTAGTTAACCCAGCCTTGCGTAGAACCAGATCGCCAACTTGAAACTGGCGAGCTCGAACCCTTTTATTGTAAAATTTTGCAACACGGTTTTGATGTGCCACATTTCTTATTCTAGAAATCTCTCTGACTTCTTCTACGAAGTCCAGGTTTTCTCTCAAAAGTTGCTCATTGTTGAGGTCGTCATGTCGGCCTGCTCGATCGGATGGCAATCCAACCTCCACTGGGATGACGGCTTCAGCTCCATAGGCCAGGCTGAAAGGGGTTTCGCCCGTAGCCGAGCTCGGTGTGGTGCGACAAGACTAAAGCACTTTGTTGAGCTCGTCAACCCAGTTAGAATGTGCAGCCAAAACGCGTGTCTTGAGGCCTCGCAGGACGATTTTATTGGCGGACTCGGCTTGCCCATTGGACTGTGGAGTGTACACAGATGTCAAGGCGAGCTCAATGCCATAATCGTTACAAAACGATCTTAGTGCTGCGGCTCGGAACTGTGGCCCATTATCAGCGATAATCCGCTTAGGTATGCCGAACCTGCACACAGATGGACGAGCTGAGCTACAAACTGTGTTTGCATATATTCTACTTGTGATCTAAGTCACTAAAAGAATACCTGCACAATATGGAATTGAACAAGAATTCTTCGATTTTCCTTTCTGTTGTCGTGGATAATGGTTTAGCTTCTATCCACTTGGTGAAGTAATCTACCGCAACGACCAGGAAAGTGCAGCCTCCTTTGCCTTTGACGAATGGGCCGAGCAGGTCGATGCCCCATTGAGCGAAAGGCCAGGGAGATGTGAGAGATGATAGCATTTCCCCTGTTTCAAGGAAGGTATTTATGCTCAGTTCATAAGCAGTCACTAGGTTAGCATGAACTGTAGAACGAGCTCGGATACCTGGCATGTGAATATCATCAGCATTGAACTGGCAGGTCGGGCACTTTCTGACATAGTTCTGTGCGTCTTCGACCATAGTGGGCCAGTAATAACCGTGTCTCAGCAGTTTCCGAGCTAAAGTCTTGCCACCAATGTGCGTACCACATACTCCTTCGTGAACTTCTCTCACGGCGTATTCAGCTTCGTAAGGAGTAAGGCAGCGTAACAGGGGCGTTGAGGCTGCTCGTTTGTAGAGCTGGTTATCTAACAAGGTGAAATGTGCAGCCCTTCGTTTAATCAATTTCGCAGCGGACAGATCTTCAGGCAATTCGCCGCTTTGCAGATAATTTATGAGTGGGGTAGTCCAGCTCGGTGTAGAGGGATCTGTACTGAGTAGTTGGCAGTCGACTGAGAAATCAGCGTAACTTGGTGCGTCGAGCACCTCGACGATTGTTGATCTTTGAGGGTTGATGTCCTGCGAGGAGGCCAACTTTGACAGTTCGTCAGCTCGGTGGTTATCAGCCCGTGGTATTTTGTCGATCTGAAATGAAGCGAACTTTGACTTCAACCTATTAACCACGAAGGCATAACGACTGAGCTGGGGATCCTTGATGTCGCAACTGCCACTCACTTGGTGGACAACGAGCTGAGAGTCGCTGAAGACCTGAATGTTTCGTACTTTCAGCTCGGCCGCCAGCTTCAGTCCATATATGAGGGCTTCATATTCTGCAGCATTATTGGTCGTCTGAAACTTAAACCTTAGTGCGTGCTCAGACTTGAAACCCTCGGGGCCCAGTAACACTGCTCCAGCACCTGATCCTTCAACATTAACAGCTCCATCCACATACAAAACCCAGAATGGGTGTTCAGGTGCCTTTTCTTCCACAGCTGCTGGGATGCATTCTACCAGAAAGTCTGCAATGGCCTGGCCCTTTATGGTTGTGCGCGGCTGAAATTTCAGGTCATATTCACTCAGCTCGACGCTCCACCCAATAAGCCGACCAGAGAGTTCAAGTTTCTGCAATATTTTTCTCAATGGCAGATCGGTATAGACAACAATCTGATGGGATTGGAAGTAAGCTCTCAACTTACGAGCTATGTAAACCAAGGCAAAAGCAGCCTTCTCTGCTACTGGGTAATTTTGCTCGGCGCCTTGTAAGACTTTGCTTACGTAACAGATAGGCTTCTGATTCTTGTTCTCTTCCCTGAGTAAGACCGAGCTAATCGCCTCTGCTGTGACCCCTAAATACAGATACAAGCTTTCCCCCTCCACTGGCTTGGATAGCAAGGGCGCTGATGCCAAGTATAGTTTGAGCTCGTCAAAGGCCTGCTGACACGCATCGGTCCATTGAAAGTTCTTGGGCTCTCGCAGGGCCTTGAAGAACGGGAGGCATCTTTCTGTTGACCTGGCTATAAACCTGTGCAGCGCAGCAACACGGCCTGTCAAACGCTGCACGTCTTTGACAGTCCTTGGCGGTTCCATCTGCTGAACGGCCTCAACCTTCTCTGGGTTTACTTCAATTCCTTTCTTGGATACCACGTACCCTAGGAATTTCCCTGACTCCACAGCAAACGTGCATTTCAA